GAAAAATAATAACCAGGCCATTTAACTTTCTTGTTCCTTCCTCCAGGCATCAGGTCCATCAGATTGTGGAGCTAAGCCTGGGCTCTGTTTCCTACCAGAGCAGGAGGGAATGGACAGCTGTTTGGAATGGTTTAAGAACAGTAGCACTGTTTATATTTCCAGGCTGCTGATGTTAATTTTTCCTTTTTTTCCTAGTAGTGTAACACTGTTGGCTCATATTCAGCCCACACTTGCCTGAGTCTCATCCTCAGATATTCTCCTGCCTTCTGACAGGTCACTGTGTGGTGCATTTGTGAATTGGAGCCTACATTTCTCAAGTGCAGGACTTGCATATGTGTCCACTGAATTGCACCTTGTGCTTTCCAGGCTATTTCTCTCTCTCTTCAAATTCCTGTCCTGTCCTCCTACATACTGCTGCTTCTCCTAGTTTGATGTAGTGTGCTGATTTTAATAGGTCCATTCTCTCTGAAAGCTCTGAAATCCAGCAACACTCAGTATTTTCATTAGGACATCTCTGACACATCCTTTCAAACTAACCCAAAGAAATTGGTACAGACTCCCTTGTATGCTGATTATTATTTTAATTCATAGAAGGCTATGGCTATAATTTTATATAGAAAGTATTTCTGTAGTTTAAGGAGGGGAATGATTTGTCAGACTGTAAAAAGACCAGTTAAATCAGTTTGATGTGCTTTCCATTCAGGAATAAACATTACTCGCCTCGCTGTGCTAAAAAATTATCTGTTTGAACACTTCTGGGAGAACTGACCTTTTATTTCCCAGCATTTCATCTTTTCCCTTGGTGGTATGTAGCTATTTTCCAGTGTCCTGACTTCAGTGATTTTCTCAGGTATCTATGAAAGTACTTGTGAGGGTTTCTGATGCTTCTAGAAATCCTGAGAGCATTTCAAGGCTAACAGTTTTCAACTTTGTAGACTCTTCTTCCTGCTCTGACCTTGGCTGGGCACACACTGACCTGAGTGTTCCCGTGGTTGCTTATTCCTGACAAATGTAAAATCCAAATGGAAGTGATTAAAGAACAGTGTTGCTTTGTCAGCAGTTCCTGAGCTGCCTGATTACCCAGAGACTAAAGGTGGGTGTCCCAAAGTGGTACTGGCAACATAAAAAAGCACAGGAACCATACCAAGAGTGGATGTTCTTTACTAAAAGTTCTGTGTAAAGATCAGTACTAAAAGTAGAACCAGAAGAGGTGACTACAGAAATACAGGATTGTGATCACATAGCAAGGAACAGCATGGCCAAGCAGTTTATTAGTCATATAAGAAGTGAAAGCTCTGTGTTAAACCTGGCTTTTAGCACTGGCATTAGAATTTTCCAAGAGTTTAGGATAAAATCTGACAGCAGAATAGGAATTTCTTAAGAGCAGCATCAGGAGAGACACTGCCCACTTTGCTGAGATTTATCTGAGATCTTAAATATTCTTAAAGAAATTAAAACAGGTTCTTATTGCATCATTACAACAAATCTCATCACTGTTGCAGTAGTAGTGTTGGAAGCTGTTGGAGCAGATCTAGAGCTGCAAACTTCTCTTTGTAGTGTTTTAGAGCTAAAACTTCTCTTTCTAGTGCTGTCTGTTTGCAGAGGTATTTGGTTGGATTTATAAGACTTTTTTTCCCCCCCACAGCTTTGTTGGACATCACTCAGTTAAAAACATTAACAAGAGCAGAGAATTCTAAGCCACTCTTGCAGGTGATCATGGTAAGGTATCACTCTGTGTGTTCACCCTTGTGTTCAGTGATAACTTAGAAAATGCTACAGTATGGCAGTGTATGTTTTGGGTGGCTCCATATCCGTGTGACCAGGCAGCTGGGATTGATCTGATTATTTTGGTGAACCTGTGCTGTGAGGATGCCCAGACTTTCTGCAGTGGTTCACACCACCAGAGGGAGCAGAGAGTGTGAGAAACGCTGCCACCGACAGTCCACAGTGCTGGGGATGCTTCAATATTACCAAAGGATGAAAGACTTTGAACAGTTTTCTATAACTTTCCTAATGCATTGCTGTCATGAAGTAAAATGTCCATCTCCCATTTTCATCAGAGGTCCGCTTAAAATCACCCTGTTTTGTGAACTACAGATAGAGAGTTAGTGGAAGGGCAGGAAATCCCTGTTAAAAAGGTTAAAAGCCAAATAGGTCCAAAGGGTCCCCCACCATGCACAGACACATTGTGTGCCACGTGTGAAGAGCCCTCTGTGCTTGTCTGCAATGTTCATATTTGTCATGTTGCATGTAAGAGGCTCGCTGTGAGGACAAAAGAAATTACATTTGCCTTCTAATTTCTGTGGATGAGATTTCCCCCTGCACCTCCCCAGCCTGAGCCTGAAGGAAGCTGGGCTGGTCCCGTGGCCTTTCTGTGTTCTAGGCAGGTTTCCAAGAGCTGCAGGAAGGCACAGCTCTGAGAGCAGCTCCTCTGCTGCAGAAACAAACCTCTGTGCCCTCCTTCACTTCTGGGTTTCCTGCCAATAAAACTGACTGCTGCATTTCTGGGCTGGTTTTCATCCCTGGCCCCTTATAGGTGATGAAGGGGTTTGTTTCTCTTATTGCAGGATACTTTGTGTACCACAAAACTGTTTAAATAGTACTTTGTATAGAGGAATTGTTCTCTCTGCTAAAAAATAAAAATATGAAATATAGCCTACGTTGTGCCAATGCCTGCCAGCAGTTTTGCAATGCAAAATGGTGTATTTTTGTTCTTTTGGGTAGAGTACACTGAGAATATTGAAAATCTTACTGAACTGCAAAAGAATTCTGTTATTTTAGCAAAATACATATTTACTGCCATCTACTTAACAAAAAATGCATACTTACCTTACCTCATCGTGTGCATATGACTCAGTAATGGTATAATTTATATAGCAGTAAGAACCATATAATTACTTCCCATCTAAGTATTAATTATAACTGTGTCAATCTTTGGAGTGTTGAATGATGATTACAGCTGAAAATCATTCTGTATTTACAGAAAATCTAAGTGCAATTTTAATAATTTGGATGATGGTTCCTTTTGAATACAATTACAGATTTGCTATACTCAGTTTTATGTATCCTTTGGTGGAAATAGTAAATGAAGTCCTTTCTGCAAGTGTAAGAAAACCTTTTTTTTTTTAATTTCAGTGAAAATACCCCTAAGATTTAGTGGAAATGTGCCTCTGATAACTCTGCTGAGTGGTGCTCACTGAAGATGTAGATACCCAGGGGTTTTCCATTAGACAGAGAACTTAAAAATGACTTAAAATGTTTAGTGCAAACACAAGAGGGATTGGTTTTCTTGCAGTTACCAGTTTCAAAACAACACAGCCAAGAAGTTTCCCAAGGGTGCTCCCCCAGGGAAAGCACAGGGCTGAGTTCCCCTTGCTCTCTGTGTGGGTTGTGTCTGTCCTCAGCCAGACCCACAGCAGCTTCCAGATGAGGAGTGGGACTATTCCAAGCAGAAGTGAACAGTAGGATCCAAACTATTTTAAGGCAGTCAGGTGGAACTGTGCTCATTGCTCACCCTTTGATCTCAGGGCTGTCCTCTAGTCCCAGTCTTGCAACTTGTTTTGCTGGGCCATGAAAAGGAAGAGAGGAAAGCAGCTCTTCCTCTGGCACACGTGCACCTCAGGTGAAGAGCAGGATCTCTGGGGTGTGTTGTCCTTTAGGGGTGTTCCCAGCACCAGGGGAGCTGGGCACAGCAGGGTGCTGCAGGGTCCTGGGGCTTGGCATCATCTGCATGGGGAAAAGGAGCAAGAGGTGACCAAGGGACGGGCTGTCAGGGTGTGCCCACTGCCCTGCCCACCCCAGGGCCACACGCCCTGCCTGGGGAGCCCCTCTGTGTCACTCTGTGTCCCCCCCAGCCAGGACTGGAGTGCCCTGGCCATTCCTGGTCACCCCCTGCTGTCCCTGTGCCCTGCAGCTCCAGGTCCCTGCACCCACTGCCCTGGCAGCTGGTTGGGAACCCTGGTAGCAGCATGGAAATGTCCTGCTGCTGCTCACTGGCTTTGTCCTTCCTGGTTTCTTTTCTCAGGGCTGGGAACAGCTCCGAGGTTTGTGCTCACAGTGAGTTCTCTGCTCCTGTGCCCAGCCCAGCATCCACTATTTAAATCACACTCACCAGTTCCTAGAGGTCACTGCAGCAAAACTGCAACCCCTTATTGAAAGAAGAGCCCAGGTCATGCCTGAAAATGCATCCTGGGTGGGAATTGGCATAAAGCATCTTCTGGGATTCCTGTGCCCTTCCCTTGGCTACGGCAAGTCCCCATGAAGGACATGAAGGTCCCAGGCCTGCACTTCTGCAGGTAAAGCCAACTGGTGTTTGAGCATCCACTGCCACTTCTCCATCACTTGCTGATGGTTTCTTTGAGGAAGACTTACAGCAGGCTTTGCAATGGTCTGGAAAGTCTGGCAGCAAAGGAAAAATGTGGCTATCCAAACATTACACTCCCTTTTTCTTTTGCTTCTCTGTGGTACTGTTCACCGTCTGTTTTAGGCAGTGCCTTGTCTCTCTTCACTGAAATACATACTTAGACGAAAAAAATTATTTAAAAATGCTTTGTTGCCAAGAAACGGAATGAAATGTACTTGTGATACCTTTAATGACAATAAAATGCTCTTCTTTTTCCTTCTGCTCTGAAACATGCAAAGTATCCTAAAATCAACAAGTAGGCTTGAGTGGGTAACATATCTGCATTAGGAGTGTCTGATTTCAGTGTGTTTTGAAATGCTTCAGGAAGGTCAGGTGTACTGCTTGTCACTGTTGCTCTTTTATGCTGTGTGAGGTCACGGAACACTTTGAAGCACAAAGAGGAAAGTTTAGGTAAACTGTAAAAAGTCACTGTAAAAAACAAAATCCCATTGCATCCCTGTTTAAAGATATAAAATAGGTAAAACTTCCAGAGGTTTTATTCTTCCATTGAAGTGTTTTTGTTGGTCTGAGATCTTCAGAAGAATTGAAGGAAAAAGCCACTTCTGTTCACATGATTTGGGGCCTGATAGTCAGTGGAAGAACTGCTCTGTACTTCTGTTGGAACGTGTGGGATGGGGATATTCTGTTCACACCCCACTGTCTTGAACAGGGGCATAGCCTCCAGGGTGAGAGATGACAGAGATGGATGGAATGGGCTGCTGCAAGTCCTGCAGCCTGACTGCAGAATTTGCAGCCTGTCCTGTAGTCCCAGATGCTGCCTCCTCTTCCTGGCTAATATAGATATTTATAGATATTTCATTTCTTTGACAAGGGTCCATGAGAGAATATGGGGGGGGATCATCTGTGGGAATATATATTTGTGTTGCTCCTGGCCCCACACATTCATCATAGCTGAAAGAAAAAAAGGAATTTTTTATTAGACTACTGTGAAAAAAAAGCCACAGTACATTATTTTCAGAGTAACAAGGGCAGGTAAAGTGAGAAGAAAAGGATCATACGGTGTTTTGTTCCTCAGCCCACATCTTTGCTTGCCCTGCCATGTGAGACAACGAGAGCATAATCCCTAAAAGCACATCTCCAAATCCATCTGGATAATCCCCAAGGTGCACAGGCACCACCAGTACAATGCAGCCACGGCTCATTCCTGCTCTCACCTGCCTGGAAGAGCCAAGTTGGAAAATGGCTGGGGGGGAAGAGGAAGTGGTGTTGCTGTTTGATAATGAACCTTTGCTGGAGCCTGAAGTGCAGTGTCACTGAGGGTGTCTGAAATGCACTGTCACTGAGGGCTCTCTGCAGTGCACTGTCACTGAGGGCTGTCTGAGGGGCACTGTCACTGAGGTCTGTCTGCAGTGCAGTGTCACTGAGGGCTCTCTGCAGTGCAGTGTCACTGAGGGTGTCTGAAATGCAGTGTCACTGAGGGCTGTCTGAGGTACAGTGTCACTGAAGGTGTCTGAAATGCAGTGCCACTGAGGGCTGTCTGAAATGCAGTGTCACTGAGGGTGTCTGAGGTGCAGTGTCACTGAGGTCTGTCTGCAGTGCAGTGTCACTGAGGGCTGTCTGAGGGGCAGTGTCACTGAGGGCTGTCTGAGGGGCAGTGTCACTGAGGGATGTCTGCAGTGCACTGTCACCGAGGGTGTCTGAGGTGCAGTGTCACTGAGGGTGTCTGCAGTGCAGTGTCACTGAGGGCTGTCAGAGGTGCACTGTCACTGAGGGCTGTCTGAGGGGCACTGTCACTGAGGGCTGTCTGAGGGGCAGTGTCACTGAGGGATGTCTGAGGGGCACTGTCACTGAGGGCTGTCTGAAGTGCACTGTCACTGAGGGCTGTCTGAGGGGCACTGTCACTGAGGGCTGTCTGCAGTGCAGTGTCACTGAGGGCTCTCTGCAGTGCAGTGTCACT